GTGAGTAAGGGTTGGGAATTGACTAGAAAAGGGTTAAATGGCTTGGTTCAATGACGGTTCAATGACAAGCGATGGGAAAAATGTTCGATCTTGATCTTTTCCTTGCCCTGTGAATTTGTTATAAATGAGAGGTAAAAATCCTCTTGTCCGAGATAGAATCGTTCTAGTGTGTACAATTCATCTTACATTCAATAAAATCGTTAAATAAAAACCCTCCAGTAAATTCTAGTTACAACGTTCTTTAAAAATTATACCAAATTACTTACCTAATGAAACTTAGTAGATGCCTTAGACCTGTGCCAAGTCGTTATCCGCCTCACCTCTCTACTAAGTGCCATTATCTGTGGTCTGCCCTATTTTATCCAAGACCGACTGTCATTTTCCTTTTGTTTGTGGGTGTGTGTGTTGGTCACTTATCTGCTAACATTTTTCGTGGTGACTGTGAGATAGAACGTCCCCGACCCGAAGCCCAAAACTGTGAGATCAAGCACCTGTTGGAAGCCCCAAGCAGCTGGACTGTGATATTCGACGATCCGACCGTGAGGAACGAATTAAGTACTGCGACGACCACCCCTGATGTTTCTTTTAAGATTGTTTTTTTTATTAAATTAAGTTTTTAGCATATTAGAGTTTTTGTTAAGGACTAACGAACCGAGTCCGCCAGTATTTCTCTTGTTTTTTTTTCTTTTCCCATTGTGATACGCCATCGTATAGTATCTTACTCTTAGTCTCAAGTGTCACCAAGTTTTTTTTTTTAAAAAAAAAAAAAAAAAAAAAATGTATGAAATATATCAGCCAGCCGTGTTTAACCAACAACTATTCAAAGCCCAAACGATGGTGACCCAACGTTGTCAAGTATCAAGGAACCACCCAAACAATGAACAAAGCCAGAAAAGCCACCAACCAGCAATACGATGCTCCTATTGCGGCATAAGAAGACACCCCGTTAGTACGTGCCCTGAAATAAGGAGAATGCAGTTGAATGTATAGAGTTGCTCACCGCACTTACCAAAGAACAAACTGCAGAAGTCCGGGAAATAATCGACGAAACCATCAGCAACCATAGCTTTTATGATCCACAAGCCCTGGAATTATTTTTAGAGGTATTAGAGCATGTTAGCATCCTGAATGATAAGAAAAAAAAAGAAGAGATTAT